AGGAGCCCTGCAACTCTTTTCGAGCACTGTCAAAAAACGCTGCCGATTGGTAGTCAAGCATGCAGCCGGTAATATACAGTAAATTCTCAGTCAGCTGAAAATCACTTTCTCTGCACTCGAGAAATGACGCTACAGACTTCAAAATCGCTGCGTCACAGGCCATTATTACGCGATTGGCCGATTAGAGCATGACGCACTCGGGAGTTGCTAGGATGCCGCAACCTGTCCCCACGTGATCGCACTGAAAAGCAGCTCGTTCGAAGTAAAAAAAAAAATCGCAGCATATTCCCAGAGCGAATAATGATGGGTTGAGCGAAGCGTCTGTCCATGCATCTGTCCTTGCATCTGTGCCGGCGTCCATCTGTCCTATTGCGCACACATCTATTAGGCCAACGTCATCTAGGAAATGAGATGAGAAATGGTGATGAGACAGTGCCATCTAATACTCTTCAGGAGATACTGCCGGTTACGCCTGATGCAAGACAAGGTTACACTTAGGAGCTTCGTCCTTAAAGGGAGAGAGAGAGAAAAGGTGCTCGAGATCAACAAGCGCGTGTGACATGTCCTCTTCCCCCATTTCATCTCTGTCTACTTAGCTTCCAGCAATTTCGTCAGGACGAGAGTAGGCGCTTAGCCATGCACCCATATGGGCTGCAGAAATTAGTGCCTTGTTCTTTCTTCCTCCGAACCACTATGCTATTGAGAGAGAGAGAGAGAGAGAGAGAAATCAATTGCTGCGTGCTACATATCTTTGTACCTCCGCTCGTACTTGACGGATTCTGAAAATTTCTGCGGTAGTCCATTCGTGAGGCAATTGGATCATTTACTGAATTCATTCCATGCCTACTTGGAAAAGTGTTGCTGGACCCCTTTAATATCCACGAGAATATCTGCTATTCTCGTTTGTTCTACACCCCATAATGCTGCCTTCGGGTCTCATAACGTTCTGCCTATCATTGTCGGTTGCGTGTTGCCCCGCTGCGGTGATCTAGTGTCTAAGGTACTCGCCTGCTGACCCGCAGGTCACGGTATCGAATTCCGACTGCGGCGGCTGCATTTTCGACGGAGGCAAAAATGCTGTAGGCCTGTGTGCTCAGATTTGTGTGCACGTTAAAGAACTCCAGGTGGTCGAAATTTCTGGAGCTCTCCGTCCCGGCGTCTCTCATAATCATATGGTAGTTTTCGGACGGTGAATTGCACATATCGATCAATCAATTATTCATCGGCTACGTGACCCTTGATAATTTTTCCCGACATCCTACGTTGTCCTCCAGGTCTCAGCTATGTGTGTTTTCACGGGCAATGTGCAATAGTTCAACTCTTTCCGCTTTAAAGTTGGTACTGACATGACATTTTTTTCAATTGTTTTTCTGCATCAAACAAAGTTCCAAAGCTTTCAGAGCCTATAAAATGTACTGCTGACAGTCAGTGCACTCTAAAAAAGCTATTACAGCAATTACAGTGCTGTCTTTAAAAGATAATTTTCATTCCTACTGCACCCTAACGTCTCATGTGCTTCTCCTCACGTGCTCACGCAAAATTTCGTGACGTTTCCGCTGCAGTTCAACACCGTGGCTTCATTGGCGACTGAGAAAGCGGCCATTTTGAATGTTTCGGTGGCGTATGAGCGGCCACTTTAGAACTTTCAATATTCCCGCGCATGCCCAACAACGCCCGCCATGCTGCGGAACGCAAAGTTCGCACGAATCGCACTCGCGAAGCAGTGTTGCGATGTCGATGGGAGTTTTTTATCCACATTAGCTTAACCTGTGCGTGCAGTTCGACAACTTTTCCTAGAAGTGTTGCAAGCATACTCAAGTACACAAGCACAGAGAAAAAATGGACAGAGCAAGCTGGAGGGGTATAATGCCTGCTTACCCTTCCGGGCTCAATTAACCTCGCTCCTTTCACGAAACCTTTGTCTATCTTTCTCTACTCTTTCGGGAGGAGGGAAGAGATAGAGGAAATGAAGATAGAAGTGAATAAAGAGAAAAAAAGGGAGAAAGTAAATTAAAAATGACGGAGACTTGGGCAAGCATCAGTAAACACAAAAAAAAATTCTATAATAGTGTGGCTAGGTCTGTTAATTTAGTCCATAAAAGTCACTTGAGCTCGATGGGCCTGGTCGCCGGATTCATCCGGAAATTGCCACAGTAACTTCCGGATAAAAAAACTGACTTTGCTGGCTACCTAGGTCCGTATTTGCCCCAACTACACCACCACCTCCCCGCGACATCCCGACTTTCTTATTGAAAATCTGGTAACCCTAGTTAGGGTTAACAACCATACCAAATTTTTCTGAATAAATGAATTGTTTGCAAGCCATTTTAAAGAACAAATTCTAGATTTTAAGTCTGTTCTATTAGGCTGTATAATAAACCAAATCGTATATATACCTGTTTGCAGCCGTTTCAAGACGTCCTTTAGGAGTTCTATATTTAGTGGGTATTCGTCCAGCTCAAATAACAAGTTCTGTTCAGCATTAGAGATCTACGCTTTGACGACAGCTCCATTTTCTTCGCACAGTGTCCTAGTTTGACTTTTCGCCTGACATACAAGCCTACCCGTTGAAAGTTCTCATCGTTGAGCTTGTTTCTTGCGCGATTGAAGCAACTGTAAACCACGCAGTTGACCAAAAGTGATTCGATATAACACGATGCACAACGATGGGCCTGGGCACTTTTACAGATCCATGCAGTGCGCGGTAATAGATGAAACTTCCAACACCGTAATTTCGTAAATGCAACACATGATAACATGAAAGGCAAGTGAATGCCACTAAAATCCCAGCACATAAAGACAGCAAACACGTACAGTGACAAGCATGGGTCGTCTCTTTCCGGACAACCTCAAAAATGGCGCCCGTCTTGGCGCACCTCACCTCTATGTGGTGGCTGTTTCAGTGCGTTCTATTGTTCATGGGTTTGTCGTAAGTGCCGTACTCGCAGATATAACAAGTTCATTTGACACTCTTGAACAGTGGTCGGTAACCTTTTGAGGCGGAGGGCCAAGTTACATGAAGCCAATGCAGCGGAGAGCCGGACAGCAAATCAGATGGGGGGAGGGGGGACTGTGCAAAATTCGCAAATTAGATTATGTATACATATCAAGTTAATTTTCTACATGCATGTCACGAAGTTCTCATCAATTATAGACTACGAAGGAATGTCATTGTAGGTCAATCATAACTGTCATGTCGGCCTTCAGATAAGAGTATACAAGAAAAAGAGAGGAGGTCGATGTGGCGGCAGTGGGGGGAGGGGGCATAATACAGCCCTGTGTACCACATCTGGCCCTCAGGCCACAGCTTGCCAACCCTTGCTCCAGATGTAGAAGCTTGAGCACTTCTTCTTACTAGCCTACTTTTAACTCTTTACAGTTCACTGTCAGTTGCTCCCGACAACGCAACACCACCCCATCAGCTTATCTGAAGCTGTCTGACAAGATAATCTGTGGTTGATTCATGAACATCTTTTTTTGGTGGCATTATAAATAATTTATAAGTTAGTAGTTAAACTTTTTATTTTTAACTTTAGTTTAGGGCTGCAATGGAGGGAAGATGAGTAAAGGTTTGGGACCACTAAAGGTTAAATCTGTTGCTTGTCTCACAGGCCTCAGGCACTGTGCTTCAATGGCCAGTTCTTTTCTTCACAATGAATTAACTAAGGTTGATATTCCCCAACACCCAATACTAGGGTGATTGTCGTTCCTGTTATTGTAAATGAGCTACTTAACCAGAGCCACAGCAAGAGTGGTTGAAGGCGTTCCGACCCTTCACCATACCCTTGCCCGAAATTTTTCCCGTCTCATAATTGTTTGGGGGATGCTAAAATATTTACACTCCTTCACAGCGACAACCTACTGCCAAAGTTAGCCACTGTATACACAAACCATTCCTTTAAAAACATTCCTGGGCATAGCCCTGCACTTAAGGAGAGATGCAAGTAAGAAAAATCTGTTCTAAAAGCACTTTGACTTGGGCGAGTTGGTACATAATTGGATAGGCTTCAGCGCAATTTAAACGAAGGCAAATGGAGACACAGACACACAGACGAGTACTCGTGTGTGTTGTCTCCTTTTGTCGTCCGAATTGCACTGAAGCCTATCCAACTGAAAAAAAAAAATGTTGCGTAAATGTTTAGCCCAGTGCAATGAAAGTTTTGCTGTATAGATATACAAGCTTTTATGCTGATTTCAGATATGTAATTAGTTTTATAGTAAGTTGCACAGTTTCTGTTTCATGTCATCACAATGGGTAAAGTTTGTTTTGGGCAAACATATTATGCTACTAAACCCTTCTACAGTTCTAAGCCAGTCATACCCCATATTGCTCCACATTAACTGTAAAATGTAAATAGCTACCAAAAAGTGCATACAAGACATCTTAATGGACAAAAAAAATTGTAATATGAGTATTTATAAATGCTCAGCCCATACTAATTGTTTACTTTGTAATAATCAGACAAGCAATATCAAGCTTTAGAGGAGATACTTGCACCTTTCTCATGTTGAAAAATATGTAAGTAAACTTTTATCCTGCTCTGACCATAAGAAGTACAAAAACATGGTGTCCAAACTAATGAAGCAGCCTTAAAATGGATCTTGAGAAAAATGCATTTTAAAAATGTAAGTGAAAGCGCATTTATGCTGAAAAGATACATTTTTAAGATTTCTTCAGTCATAAGAGCTTGGCAATCACGGTTATATTGAGGATCAGGTTTTAGTGAACTCTTCATGCGAAATGCAATGGCAAGCAGCCAGGTGACAATTGCCAGGGGACTGCAGAAAATGAACACTTTAGTTTTGTGTAGCCACCTTGTGCTCTTTAAAAGTGATTATAACCTACTTCTAATTTAATTAAAATGTTGAGTTTTTTTGCCATGAACTTTTGTAAGCAAATAAAAATGAAAAATGAGTAATTTTGGAAATAAACTTGCGTTTTTCATCTTGCATCTCCCCTCATTGCCACTTTAACAGCAGTTACAACAGCAGGCTTCGAGTGTTTCTGGTACATATTTATTTACACAATAACACACGTTCCCCAGTTCATTTCCTTTTGCTTCTTCCATACATCACAAAGTACTATATCACCTATTACAACCCCTTATGGAAGCAGCCGACTGTACTCCATGAAGACCATGGACTTCTGCATAGCATCCCATAACCGTGCCGAGTAGTGGAACCTGCAGAATAAGCCAATATAAGTTTTGAGACACATATAGAAGATTTGCTTTGCACAACGTTTATGCTAGGATCCACATGATGCAGTGTGTGTACGTACAGGGGTGGTTAAAAACTAACCATCCCGCAACGCCCGACCGAGCCACAGCAGATCGCCACTATTAGTACGCTGCCATCACAATCGCGCCTTGGCACATGCTTGCGTTGAGCCAGGTGAGCACGCCTCTCCCTCTCTTGCTCTCTGGAATAAAGGCCATGCGTAATGTTCCCTCACTGCTGGCTCTTCAAATTTTCGCTAATGTGCAGCATGTAGCCGAGGTGACAGTGTTCCGCAAAACTGACACATCATGTTTGTAGCCTCATTTAGCTGTACACATTGTATACATTGCCGCAGTTTTCAGCTTGCTGCAGCTCTCTCAGCTATCTATGCAAGTCAATTTACAATTCGCCGCAGACAAAAGTGGTCGGGGCCGACATGTATGGAGAGGCGTTTGTGTTTGGGCTCGTTGGACCATCTTAGTATATTAATAATTGGTGCATAGTAGTATACGATTATAAGAGTGAATAGTGAGGGAAAATGATGCACTATGTTTATTCCTCAGTTTCTCATGAGAAAGAGCAAGAAAAAGAGAGGGATGCACACCTCCCTCCCTTGCACACGCTCGACGTCGGCTTGCGCCAAGGAGGATAATGCTTTGATAGCAGCAAGCTGCTGCTTCTCAACCAGGCATTGAGGCCTGGGAAGTTTTGACCAACACTGTAGACACATATCCAAAATAAAAGTCATGATAGGTGTATACTCCTATGTGGAAACATACTATTTATGCTTGCACGGTGATACCTTTTAAGCATGAAAGGTTTTTATCTCCTATTGTCAACGGCATTCAAGTAGCCTTTAGCAAAATGCCAGTGCTATGATACGGACACTTCAAACTAGATGTCCTGGCACTCAATCAAGAACACCGGTAATAGGAGGTGGGGCCAGTCAAGCTACATTTACGCACCTTCTTTTCCCACCTTGCCAACCACATCTCAAGTGCAGCAGTTTTTGTACTTTGTGTGGAAAAATAAACCAAACTTAAAACATACGGGTATTCAGGTGAAATTGTCCAGGCACACGCACGATAAAATATGGCACCACATACATTCGGGCACACTACGAATTTTATCTACAATGGTCAGTAGTGCTCAATCTAAAGACGGACAGGACCTATGTTCTAAACGCAGGTACACAACATTAAAAACTTTATTTTCATCTTTTTGCACAGAGACCGGGTCATCAGTGCTCAGAAGCTGAGGCAGCTAAGTATCACTGCCTCCGTGAGATGGCACCATGCAGCGTGAAACTGTCTCGTGGCTGTATATGCAAGGCAAAGCACGGCAGTTTAAAACACACAGGGATAGGAGGAAATGGCGTACATACGGACCATTGTACAAAATGATGTGGTGTGTCCTTGCAAACTTGCACTACACCCATCTTAACAGTGTGGTCACCTCAAGCCAGTTTGCCTTGCTGGTAGCCTTTTTATATTGACATTAACCCTTGAATGGAAACATATTTGACAGAGATCTATTTGGCTGGATAAACACTCTTCGGCCATGTCTAGTCTTCAGTGTTTTATTACTTCAAAAAAAAAAAAATGACTGTTTCAAAACTCATTCGGCCTTTTCAGCTGGTTTCAAAGCTAGTGCTTTTTTTATGTGGTTGTGGAGGTAAAGACAACCCGTACAAAAGCGCTAGCTTCAGAATCAGCCGGACAGTCACTCCCGAAGAACAGACCAAATGGGTCTCTAAACGTAGGGTGTTTTTAGTACTAAAAACTAAAGACTAAACGTGGCTGGAGAGTGTTCATTCATACATCTACTCTCAATTATAAGAGACCCAGCCATTTTATAAAACCGAAAGCTGCCAGTGCACCCACCAGTTTTTCTCTGTGAGGGGCGTGTGAGTGATGTGCTGCTTCGGCATGCAGCCTATTTGGAGGGTCAGAAATGAAGCTAGCTGCTCCAGTCGGCCGCCATCCTGATATCCTGGCGCAGCGTCGCCTTCGCTCCTCCGCTTCTCCTCTGCACAACAGCCATTACCACCAGGATTACCACAGCCCACAAATTCTCCGGGTGCCTTTCCACATTTCATAAGACTCATAATAATCATAACGCAACGAAAAAACAGTGCAGTTTCACATTAAAAGGAAAGTCATGTGATTTGCAGCCAGAAATTTGGAGGGGCCCTGGGAGGGGGGAGGGGAGGAAGAGTCTAAGCACTCTTTTTGCATGTGCATACATGTGTTTATACGTGTGCATGTATATACTGTTAGAATCAAGTGTGCCCTCCCCTTTGATGCCTCGTTCCCTAGCTAGCACGTTTTCGAACATCGTCCATTGCTGTTACTAATTGTTGGCTACAGCGCCAAGCCTATTTGCCTGGTACAACCCTTACGTCGGTCCTCTCGGTGCAAAGACATGCATCCAGGTTTGTCCAGGCATGCTCTCTGCATACCACACTAGCACACTTTCTGGCACTTCGCCTGTACTCATTGGCTGCCAGTGACAGCCCTCCCTGTCTATGAGCTGGCTTCTGTCTGTGTTGTTGCTCTGAATAAGAGCACTGGTGTCGAGAACTCTACAAAAAAAATGTCTCGGTGCTTGGGAATGCCCTGAAAGCATTTTAATACTGCTACCTTAAGACAGCAATTTCAGTATTGAGGAGGCGGCTTCGCAGTAACCTGTCAACTGAAGTCGGATGTCACGGCAAGACTGCAACTCGTGACATACTACTACTGAAAAAGGGTTTATTGGCGACTGTTGCGACGGTGGTCCGACGATGAAACACGATCGGGCAAGAGCAGCGGTCAAGCAGATGCCGGCGATGATCAGCACGAGCCGAGCAAGAGAAGCCAGCACCCAGTACCCAAGCGGTGGCGATGTTGCTTGCCAACGATGCGTTTTCTTCTTCACAATTTGCCCCTGCCGAAAAAGAGCCATCCTGGCGACCTTAAGGGTCTGGAGGCAGAGGGCTATGATATGACTTAAGGCGGGCGACGTGGACGATGTCACGTCCACGCCGGCGCATGTCGTCAGATGGGGAAAGTGGCTAGATGAGAAAATTCACTGGTGAGGTTTGCTCCAAAACGCGGTATGGGCCGTCGTACATTGGAACGAGTTTTGAGGAAATACCGAAGGTTTGGTAAGGAACAGCCAGCCATACAAGTGATTCCGGGGAATAGCTGGGGCTTAGTGAAGACTCGGTGTTGTTTTCTTTCTGGCGCTATTGTTCTTGTGACGTAAAGGTGCGTGCGAGTTTACGGCACTCTTCCGCATTTCGGGCAGCTTCGGACACAGATGGGCATTCGGATGCGTCAGGACGGTATGGAAGGAGAGTGTCGATGGTGTGGGATGGTTCGCGTCCATAAAGAAGAAAGAAAGGTGAAAATCCAGTTGTAGACTGTGCCGCGGTGTTATATGCGAACGTGATGAATGGAAGAATGCGATCCCAGTTAGTATGATCGGATGTCACATACATGGCGAGCATATCGCCAAGGGTGCAGTTAAATCTTTCCGTGAGCCTGTTAGTCTGCGGGTGGTATGCCGTGGTCTTGCGATGAACAACATGGCATTCAGAAAGCAGAGATGCGACGACTTCTGATAGGAAGGCTCGACCTCGGTTCCTTAGTAGTTCTCGAGGTGCACCATGTCGTAGTATGAAGCGATGAAGGATGAAGGATGCTACGTCCCGCGCAGTGGCACTTGGAAGGGCGGCGGTCTCAGCGTAGCGTGTTAAATGGTCCACAGCGACTATGATCCACAGATTTTCATCTGATGTTGTCGGTAGAGGGCCATAGAGATCAATTCCGATCCGATCGAAAGGTTTGGCAGGGCACGGAAGCGGTTGAAGCGCACCGGACGAGTGGAAAGGCGGGGATTTGCGGCGTTGACAGTCAGGGCAGCCCATAACGAATTTTCGAACGAAATTATACATTCTGCGCCAGTAGAAGCGATGGCGAATGCGTTCTTAAGTTTTGAAAACTCCGGCATGACCACATTGGGGATCGTCGTGAAAGGAGGCGCAGATTTGTGATCGCAAGCTGCGCGGGACAACCAAGAGCCACTTACAACCTTCGGGGGCGTAGTTGCGTCGGTGTAGCAGCCGATCACGAATGGCGAAATGAGCAGCTTGGCGTCGGAGAGATCGTGGTACCGCAGTGGTTGATGATCCAGAGAAACAGTTAAAAAGGGAAGCGATCCACGGGTCCTTGTGTTGTTCACTGGTAAAGGAGTCGAGGTCGAGAGATGCGACGGAGTTGGTACCAGTGGTTCCGCAGGCCGAGTCGGGAGGTAAAGGCGAACGCGACAGGGCGTCGGCGTCAGAATGCTTGCGTCCGCTGCGATAGATGACACGAATGTCGTACTCCTGGATTTGCAGTGCCCACCGAGCTAGGCGGCCAGAAGGATCTTTCAATGTGGCAAGCCAACAAAGTGCATGGTGGTCCGTTACCAGGTCGAATGGGCGACCGTACAAATAAGGGCGGAACTTGCGAAGCGCCCACACTAGCGCCAAGCACTCTTTTTCAGTGACGCTGTAATTGGCCTCAGCTTTAGTAAGTGTGCGACTCGCATAAGCGACGACGTATTCGGAGTAGCCCGGCTTGCATTGGGCGAGAACGGCGCCTAGACCAACCCCACTAGCGTCTGTGTGAACTTCCGTTGCAGCTGTTGGGTCGAAATGCCAGAGAATTGGAGGAGATGTTAGCAGACTACGGAGCATGGCAAACGCGACGTCGCAGTCAGAAGACCAAGATGAAAGGTCTGCATCACCGCGTAGGAGGTTGGTCAGTGGTGACATGATCGACGCAAAATTTCGCACGAAGCGCCGGAAGTACGAGCATAGTCCGACAAAACTGCGTAATTCTTTCAGTGTAGTAGGTTTCGGGAACTCAGCGACTGCTCGCAGTTTTGCAGGGTCGGGTCGAACACCATGCTTGGACACGATGTGCCCTAAGATGGACAGCTCTCGTGCGGCGAAGCGGCACTTTTTAAGGTTCAGTTGGAGCCCAGCGTTGGTTAAACACGTCAGAACCAGTTGGAGCCGAAGCAGATGTGTAGGAAAATCGGGAGAGAAAACGACAATGTCGTCGAGGTAGCATAGACACACAGACCACTTCAGTCCCTGCAGTGTGTTGTCCATAAGTCGTTCAAACGTGGCAGGAGCATTACAAAGCCCAAACGGCATTACGTTAAATTCGTACAGGCCATCTGGTGTAACGAACGCAGTTTTCTGGCGATCAGCTTCTGCCATACGAACCTGCCAGTATCCAGATCGTAAGTCTAAGGAGGAGAAGAATTCGGCTCTTTGGAGGCTGTCAAGGGCGTCGTCGATGCGCGGTAATGGATAGACGTCTTTCCGCGTCACCTTGTTTAATCGCCGGTAGTTGACGCAAAATCGAATCGATCCATCCTTCTTTCGAACTAGAACGACAGGAGATGCCCAAGGACTGTGCGATGGTTGAATAACGCGACGGCGTAGCATCTCTTTGACCTGGTCATTGATGACGTGACGTTCTGCAGCAGAAACACGGTACGGTCTTTGACGCAATGGCTGGTGCGAACCGGTGTCAATGTAGTGATGCACTGCGGAAGTCCGACCCAATTGCGGCTGAGAAACGTCGAATGAATTCGCGAAGTGCTGGAGGAGATTAAGAAGCTCGGCGCATTCATGGGCACTTAAGGTGTCGGCGATGGAACTCGAGAAGGTGTCACTCGATGAGCATTCCAATGGGGCAAAGGCATGAAGTTCGGTCGAGGCGCTACTGCACGATTCGTCTGGCATGTTAAGGAATAAAGAGGAATCAAGGTACTCCACTCGACCGAGACATTCACCGGCAAGTAGCGTAAGCGGTGCAGAAAGGGGGTTGTCGACGAAAATATTGCTTCGGCCCGCAGTGACGTCGAGTGTAGCAAAAGGCAAGGAAACGGCTCCGCGGCTCATGAAAATGTCGGAAGGTGTAAACATTACTGTAGCGTCGTTATGGTCATCGCAGCAAACAGGGACAACGGCAAGAGAGGCTGCGGAATTTCAGTGTCTTCACGTACGACGAGTTTTGGGGACCGCTCAAGAATTTCGTGCAAAGGTTCGTCAGACAGGTGCGAAAATTGAACTTCAGCGCGTGCGCAGTCGATGACGGCATGATGATGTGACGGGAAGTCCCACCCGAGGATAACGTCATGCGAGCACACCGAAAGGACGATGAACTCGACAACGTACATAGAGCCTTGGATGAAAATGCGGGCTGTACAGGTGCCGAGAGGTCGAACTGGTTGTGCGCTAGCCATACGAAGCGATAGTCCAGAGAGCGGCGTGGTCACTTTGCGTAGGGAGCGGCAGAGCTGGGCGGCTATAACAGAAACGGCAGCACCTGTGTCGATGAGGGCAAAGGTAGAAACACTATGGACAGATATGGCAACGACGTTAGCAGGTGAAGTGCGAGGACTTGGGCATTTCAATGACGGCGCAGTTCTTGCCTCTAGAACTGCGGCGTTCAGTTTTCCCGGTTGGAGAAAGCGGGTCGGGGACGCATTGGGGACAGAGATCGCCTGCGAGGAGACGGTGAGCGGGGAGAGTGAGTCGGAGCTAGGGGCTGGGGTGACTGAGACTCGGGAAGATTAGTGTAGCCATACTGCGGTGAAGGATAGGGAGCAGGTAGGTGCGTGGGCTGCGGGTCATACGGTAACAACCAAGTAGCGTTGTGTCGCGATTGGAAGCGACGACGACAATATCGTGCCACATGTCCTGGAGTACCGCAGGCGTAGCAGATCGGTCGATTGTCAGCAGTGCGCCAGGAATTGCTGACTTGCGGTGCGGCCCAAGGTGTCGAAAGAGGGGTAGAGTGGGGAGCAACTGCAGGCATGGGTGGCAAAAGCTGCTGGCGGGGTCTGCTGCGTACCACCTGGGCATAAGTAAGAGGCGCGGCCACGGGCTGCATAGCTGGCGCATGGGGAACAGGCATGGCCACAGGCTGCTGGTGGGCAGCGATGGGAACAGCCTGAGCTACCTCTTCGGCAATAACGTC